CAAAAAAGGAACAAAAGGCGCAGACAGATCCGCCTACACCACCTGTCGAGACTATATAGCGGGGAGTTGATACCCAGGAATTAGAGCGGTAACTGTCAAAGATGACACTAGCAACTCAGACGGAGAATGAGTTGGCGGGAAGAGAAGAGAGAGGGAGGTCCGTCGTAGAGGCAGGAATGGGAGATATAAAAGGGGAGGGGGATGTAATACCGAGAGGTTGGGAAATGATATGGGTAGAGGACTCATGGACAGGAAAATGGAAGAAGGTGAGGGTCCCTAAGGAAGAAGCTGATTACAGACAGAGAAGGGGGCTACCACTGGATCCTTCCTACTCGGGTGAGTCGGAAGCCAGAGAGTGGCGCGGGTGGCTCAGGGAAGAGAAGGAGGCGATAGAAAGGGAGGGAAAGGAATGTAGGTTATGGCATCTGGAGGAGGCCCAGAGGAGGGGATACCTAATGGACCATGGGCCCCTCTTCAAGGAGAGGAAGACCCTTATGAGTCGGAGGGGTGAGATGTAGAGACCATCCCGTTATTAAACCCCGAGGCAGGAGCTGCTGAGATGGAAAGCAGTAACCCATTTGCGAAGGGACCTTGGAATGATTCAAACTGTAACCCCTTTAATAAAGACGTTTGGATTCCCTCGTGGGACCCGTTGGCGACGAGAGACAATGCAGAAGTTGAGTGTGAGCATATGGACTTTCTGTTACATGTTCCAATAAAACATAGTTATGATTTTCCAAAGCGAGTGTCCCCAGTGTCTCTGTTGAAACCAGAGGAGGTAAAATTTGAACCCTCACACCAAGTTAGTTAGTGCAGTGAAAACAAAGAGCCCAGGTGCCTTAAAGCCTAAGAAGTTTTATTTGCCAAAGGCTTTAGTGTGTTGCAACCGTCTTCATCAGATGCATGGAATGCAGCCTCAGATAGTAGATCATTGTTGCATGGTTGGATGGCTGGTTATATGAGGCTATCAAAATACAAAAGGATAGAAACACTCCATTATCTTAACATGTGGTTGTTGATTGGTGGCTTACAAACACTAGTTGGCAGGGAACATGGGCATCTAGCACAGGGCAGATTAACACATGTATTGCAATAAAAATCCTTTGCTCTAGGGAAGTCCCAAGGTCCTTTAATGAAACTTATTTACCATTGGTGGAGGGGATGGAAAGAACTGGATAAAGGTGATACTTACTATGCAAGAAGTATGAGTGGCTTCTAACCAGTGACTGGTAGTCTGTGACCCATGTATATATAATACAAGCAAGTGGTAGACAGATAATTTCTTCCAGTCTTTTGCTCATATCTTCTAGTGACTGAGGCAAGCTGAAACCAGCTCTTTGCTCTGACTCAGAGTCTGAGGTAATACGATGCAAAAATCTTGATTAAATTGGATTCTAAATATAACAAAATCTTGCATGCTTCTATAGCAAGATGGGCAACATTTTAATGTCAAGGGCCACCTATGGCACTTTGTGATGGATCAGGACAAGATAAATGTGCATGGACTCTTCCCTGACATCTTGGCATTCAGGAATGGAGAAGCTCAAACGTCCACTCTCTGTGTTCTGGAATCATGCTATGTCTCCTCCCACCCCATGCCCAACACCCACCCACACAGAGATGTGTGTTCATGATTGAAATGGAGAAGACGACAGATGGAGATGATTCTCTTGATGGACCCTTTTTCCTCATTAGAGCCTGCCAATGTCCATAGTGATTGGTAGGATGGAAGGTGCAGCAGCCAATGGGGTGGAACCAGGTGTGACAAGCGGAGCACTTGATGATTGTAGCATTGATTCATACTGACGGTAGGGTAGAAAACAGGTGAGGCCCTGATCCATTACTCCACTAAGGAGGCAGCCAGAGCTACCTGGGATGGGGATAGCCTGAGGTGGGAACGCACCTCACTTGTCCTAATGGACCAGTCGCAATTGTTTTCCTTTTAACCCACATTCCTGCCACCTGCCAAAACAGTCATTTGTTAGAGCATGATTCTTCTGGGAAAAAGAGTTGTGGGTTTGGTTTTCTTTGTGACACATCTGTAGCGGGCATGCTGGAGTCTCTACTATCTCAGGCCTCCAGGAGGTGCTCGCTCTTCCACTCAGTTGCTGCCACCAATGCTTCAGTTCAGTATCAATTATTTAAGGAGACAAGTGTTGCTTCAAAACTAAAACTTGTTTATTTGATCAATAAAAATGAAATAGGTAAATCACAAGTTGTTAATCAATATCTCTCACTCACTGACACACAGACCCTTCTCTCACTGACTTTTTGGCTCACAGGCCCACAGACTCACAAAGTCTCTCACACTAATTTCAAATCTCTCCAATCTCCTTCATCATACACCATACACCCTTATTTATATCCCAGCTCCTCCCCCTTTAGCACCACCTTCCGTCCCCTCATTGGCTGCTGTTCCACTGCTCAGCTGTGACGGACAGGTGAGGGCAGGACTGAACGCTACAACATCTTCCCTACCAATTTACAGTGGAGGTGGCAGGGGGTAAAGAGTTCAGAAATAGGTATAATGCCAGCCGCTTTGGCACCTGTTGTGTTGCTGTGAGAGACACAGAAGTGCGCAGACTACACATTATTCATATGTATAGCACTGGGAAAGTGTGTAGGCAAGAGGAGAAGGGGACGACAGAGGACGAGATGGATGGACAGTGTCATCGAAGCAACCAACATGAATTTGACCCAACTCCGGGAGGTAGTGGAAGACAGGAGGGCCTGGGGTGCTCTGGTCCATGGAGTCACAAAGAGTCGGGCATGACTTAACGACTAAACAACAACAACACATAGGACTGGTAAGGTGTTATATACCCATGAAATGTTTATCACCTTATCTGCCTTTTATTCTCTAAGAATACCATTTGTAGTTGTTGCTTGTATCTTTAGCTACTATATAATGCATGATCATCAAGGACTTTCAGGCAAATTAAAAAACAAACAAACCTAACATGTATACAGTAGATTTTTAAAAGTGTCTTGCTAAATGCAAAAAGATTAGAGATGATTATGTCCGAAATCATTGCTATACAAAAACATAAGAATATGTTATAGACATTAAAGTATTAGTATCTATTATATTTTTATTCACCATGGATTTGTTCAAGGTGATCCCCCTCTGTTGAAAGAAATATCAGGAATGGTAACACTTTTTTCATATCTTTGCCATCTTTTAACATTAAGATATTTGCAGGCATTTTCTATGAAATTGGGTGTTGCTACATAATTGACTGAATTATTATTTTGCTTTGTTTGCTTTTGCATCAATCCCATTCTTCAAATTCAGTAGTACTTCCTGCTGAGCATACATCTGTAGAATTGCACTGTTGATGGGAACATAGCTGTGTGATCAAATTTATCATTACAGAAATTGCTTTACACAAGGGGAATTAAAATTCTCCGAAGTCCCCTTCCCTCCCTCTTTAGATGAGCTCTGAAGATCTTCCTAGTGTATACATATTTTTGGAATTGATTGTATTGGGTTATTTAATATTTTTTCTTTAAACATTAATGCACTGCATTCTGATTTCTAGTCCTCTGATCACCCTTCTTGCCTTCCTCTGAACTGGTTCCAATTTGTTGGCATCCTTCTTAAAGTATGGTGTGCAGTACTCTAGATCACTCGTTCTTAACCTTGGGTTACTCAGGAGTTTTGGACTGCAACTCCCAGAAGCCTTCACCACCAGCTGTCCTGACTGGGGTTTCTGGGAGTTGCAGTTCAAAAGCATCCGAGTAACAAAGGTTAAGAACCACTGCTCTAGATGAGCCTAACCAGTGCAGAATAGAGGGGAACTAGTACCTCAAGGAATTTGGAAACTATACATCTGTTAATGCATCCTAAAATAGCATTTGCCTTTTTTACAGCCACATCACACTGTTGGCTCATATTCAACTTATGATTGACAACAATTCCAGGATCCTTCTCACTTGTAGTATCATTGAGCCAAGTATCCCCATCTTGTAACTGTACATGTGGGTTTTTTCCCCTATGTGTAAAACTTTGCTCTTATTCCTGTTACATTTTATCCTGTCATTTTCAGCCCAGTGCTCAAGCCTATCAATATCTTTTTGAATGTTGTTTTTTTCTTCCAAGGTAATAGCTATGCCATCCAATTGCTGCAGAATATTGTGCCAATGTTGACAGCAGGGGAAAAAATGAAAAGCTATACATAGCAAAGGACAGCCCGAATGATGAGAAGATGGTCTACATATTATCTATCTATCTATCTATCTATCTATCTATCTATCTATCTATCTATCTATCTATCTATCTATCTATCTATCTATCTATCTATCTATCTATCTATCTATCTATCTATCTATCTAGAACAGGTCTACTCTGGACAGTTTATTATTAACTATGCATGAAATGTATATTATTATATATACATTTCATGCATAGTTGTCCACTTCTATCCCTTCTTTTGGTGGTACATTACCTGTTTCTTCGCAATGCAGAAATCACTATCCTTTACTTACATCTGAAAAACAAACAATAAAGTGTCTCTTGATTGACCACATAAGTAGTAAAAGTACAGGATTTTCTTTAAATTAACTTTTTAAAATGGTGTTATTCATTATACAGTAATTCATGCATCATAACAAAAAGCTCAACATTTTAATACACATGCAAGCAAAATGGGCATTATATTTGTTATATAAATGATTTGAATCTAACACACCTATCTATCTTATTCTTATACTGTTTAAAGATGGTAAACTTGACCAGAATGAATTTTGTCAGTAAGATGGGTTGTCCTTCATTAAATTAAGAAATGTAAGATAGCAACAAGTCTTGGTATGGCAATTTTTTGACATTTCGGTTAAAGGAAAAACACAGGCCAACACAAGTGCAGAGCTCCCCCATCTGATGAGGGATTCTGGGAGTATCATTGCTAAGGCTTGAATCGCCTGAGTAACTTGCTTAATGACCGTATGCATTTGCCTCAATAGAGTCATTCTATTTATTATCTTATTTTCTTTCCTTACAGACAGAACAGCTGGTGACCCTGTGGATCCTTTTTGTCGTAACAGTTGTTGGGAATGCCTTTGTTCTGTTCTCGACTTGGAGAAGGAAGAGGAAATCCAGGATGACCTTTTTTGTTACTCAGCTAGCCATGACTGGTAAATGTGTGCCAGTTCCTTTCTTTTACCACAAATGATTTGATGCACAATGATCTGATTAACAGTTCAAAGTGAGGGTGTTTCTTATCATGGAATGGATGATGGGAGATTACAGAATTAACATTGCACAAGTGTGCAGCTGTTTAGTGGCAAGCGGACTTGGCACCAGCTGATAATGTCATCAGTCTGTGGCTCCTGACTGACCTACCACACCTACTATGAGCTGTTTCTGTTGAGTCTGCTGCCATTGGTACCACAGAGAATGCCCATCAGGAAGTTGTGGGGCTCTCTTCGCCTTTGTTTACTATTCGGTTTCTCTGTGTTACTACTACCTCATTTTGCTAGGGCACCACTGAACGAAACTAAACATGAGTATTTTCTTATATTTACCATAATTTCTGTTGTATCTTTTCTCTTTTATCCTATAAACATGTCTCTGGGTGATTGTGCAAAGGGTACATACAGAAATCCTATAATAACAAGATAGTTATAAGGATATTGGCTTTAATTGACTACTGTTGTTGTTAAACTTCTCTTGGCCCATAATATTTGCCAATAACTTTTCTATAAATCTTTACTCCATTCCAAGATTCTGACTGGGTTAGCTTGAACACCTCTCAATGGTACAAGCATGGCAAGCCATGACACATGTGGCTATATCTGCACTGCGGAAGGATATCATTTGTCTCAGTTGACAAGTAGTAGCTATGTATGTGAGGAAAAATATGTATGTGACAATACTAGGTACATATAGAGCTCATCCCAGTTTTTGTGGGCCCTTGGGCAGCGGACCTAGAGTGGTATGTTCTCAGCAAAAGATAATGACTCTCTCAAGCCAGAGGACACTACTCACTCACTTTTGTGATCTCAATACATCATTACTGACGCTCTCTCAAGTGCTAGAAGAAGATGGGGAAGAGCTGGGGCATGACTTGGTAGGATCTTCAGTTACGACATCAGAGCTGCACAGCAGCCAATTCTTTCAGATACAGTGGTGCCCCGCATGACAATGATAATCTGTTCCATAGAAATCGCTGTTTAGCAAAATCATCATCTTGTGAAAACCGTTTCCTCATTGGAATGCATTGAAACCCATTTAATGTGTTCCAATGGGGGGGGAAATCGTTGTAATTTGCGATAGGGCAGCCATTTTGCGAACTGCCGATCAGCTGTTAAAATGGCTGTCCTGCAAAGCATCGGTCCCCAAAACACAAGGAAGTCATTTTGCAAAGCTGACGATCAGCTGTAAAAATTGTCATCTTGTGAAAAAACAGTCCGCAAAGCACGGACCAAATCATCGTCCACCGAAAATCGCCCATTGGAATCACTGTTTTGCGAATCCCTATAGCGATCGCAAAACCTCATCATCATGCGGATTTGTCATTTTGCGAGGGTGGCATCTAGCGAGGTACCACTGTACTGGTGCCAGCTACATTCATTGGAGAGAGCAACTTCATTATGAAACCAGAAAAGACACTGGGTTTCACTTTAGTATTCATTACATAAATAGCTGCCTTACAGATACATGCTGCTTAGAAGAAAAAAATACATTTCCTCTCTGACAAGAAGTACAGTTTGTAGCTGTGCTTTTACATATATGTGTGTCTCTTAGTTATTTACCATTGGCCTTACACAGGTATTCAGCTGGCTTGTTGTGGAAGCAAAGTCTCATAAGCAAGCCCTGCCCCCATTGCAGGTTCACTGAAGATTTTCTCATGTTTAGTGTTAATGTTGCAGGGAGGCGTGAGTGTATTCCTCTTTTATTGGATATAAATAGCAACTCTGCCACTATCTCCCTGAAGCAAATTAGACAACTGTTCCCTTGTCAGGGCCCTTTTCTCTCAACAGAGAATTTCTAGCCCATAAGCCAGTGTAACCACCTGGCTCACAAGCTTCTTCTGCTGTTATGATCAGTGACTGGAGATAAGAAGCTAGCCTTAAGATGAGAAGCTGTTCTTAAACTTTGGGTATCCTGTATATAATGAGCTGTGCTTTGCAAGCAAGAAAGCTATTATAAGGAACCCAATTACCTCTGAAGGTAGAACAGTTATTGTATAAATCTGAGAAGGTGGTTACACTGCTAAAAAACACACCCCTATTCAGGTTTAGCCTTTTTATATTGCTGTAAGAATAGGTGAATGCACAATGCATGTGTAAGAACGGATTAATTTGACAGGGAATTGTGGTTTTTGGAGTGGCCAAGAGTTTTTTTTTACTCCTCCACCTGAAATTTGATGTGGATATGGAATTGACTCATTTAAATTGATTCCCCCAAAGTGAACATTTCTGTCCATGTTTATTTATTTATATAAAATATATTTATTCCACCTTTTTCCTTGAAAGTACCCAAGGTGGCTCGTATAATTTTTAAAAAGCCACCAGTATTTAAAAGCTAACAACAGTAAGTATACAAATATCTAAAAGAATTACGCAAACATCATACACTATTAGAATGGTAAATAAAAGCAATTTTAAAAGACATTTATAACAATCCATTTAAAAATCCTTCTCAGACCACCAGGTAATTGGCCACTTGCCTTACTGTTGTGTTAAAAGCAGGAGGGCGTGGGAGGAGCCTGGCCACCAAGCAGCATGCAGGAGCCCCAGGCCACTTGCTCAGTCGCCCAAATCTTCTTCCAGGATGGGGGGAGCAGACAGATAGGGCAAAATTAACCCAAGGAGGCATCTCTTCACTGAGCCAGCACAGAAACCTTGGAGCTGGCATCTAAAAGGCAGACAGTGAAAATGCCAATACTGAGCCTCTCTCCCCCACCTCCCTGCCCCCGTAGCCAGCCAGCCAGTTCCAGCCTGTGTCTCCTCTGCTCTGGCTGTGTGTGCATGTGTCAGGCGCTCATCACCATTGGACTCTCCTGAGCTGACTGCTTCTGAAGGCTTATTGATAGGACTGGCCTTGCCCAACTGCAGTCCACTGTATACTCAGTTTGTCTTCAGAGAATTCAACAAACGTATATTACAGTGGTGCCTCACATTACGACGTTAATTCGTTCCAGCGAAATCGCTGTAGAACGAAAACGTCATAATGCGAAAATAAAAAGCCCATTGAAATGCATTGAAACTCCTTCAGTGCGTTCCAGTGGGCTAGAAACTCACTGTCCAGCGAAGATCCTCCATAGGGCGGCCATTTTTGGTGCAAGGAATCTGTCAGAGAAAATAGCGGGGAGCCATTTTATTTACCCGGTGGCCGTTTTGTAACCACCAATCAGCTGTTGGAAAATCATCGTTTTGCGAAGAATCGGTTCCCGAAGCAGGGAACTGATCATTGTAAAGCGAAAAAACCCTATTCAGACCATTTTGCGATTGCAAAAGCGATCACAAAAACGTCGTCATAATATGGTTTCGTTGTAATGCAGGGCAATCGTAAAGCGGGGCACGACGGTACTTACAAAACCACACATGTGTTCACTATAAGAGAGCTATTTTGAACATTGGTGCAGAGTCAGTTCATCAGTATGAAGATGGGAAAGGTGTATCATACTTTAGGCACAGTTATATTTAGAAAGATTAAAACTAATAATAATAAGAAGAAGAAAAAGAAGAAGAGATAAGCATAAACCAGAAAAGCAGCATATTGGGCTAGTTCATGGTTTGTGCCTAGCAACAAACCATGAACCCCCAGAAAAATCATTATCAGGTAGGCAAGGATTAGGCAGGAAATAATTAGTTCAAGCTCATCCAGTCAATGCTGTGGCTGATCTAGGATATGAACACAAGTCCCCACTATCAAATGTCAAACATGCTGATTTTTAGAATTGCGGTCTGGATTTTCTTCATTTTCTTTAGTTTTGCTTGCTTGCTTGTTTTCCTTCCTTTCAGTCTCGTTTTCCTTTTGTGTCTTGTCTTTATAGTGCAAATATGAGCCCAGGTACTGCCTTTTTTCCTTTTGATCTATGCATTCCAGAAGCCTTTTTGGCTAAGCAGCAGGCTGCAAATGTTTAAATAAGAAATACATCTTCCCAGCCAATTGTTCAGTGACTGTCAGCTGATCCTAATAAACTGGATAGTACCCTGGGTTCTGCTGCTGTATCATGTGTGATCCATACAAAGTGTCAGAACAGTTGCATGTGTTGTTGGTCTGTCTTTGACAGCATGGCTATGTTATTGCTGCTTGAGAGTACACCAATAGATATTGTGTGACAGTCCAATTCAGAATTCTACAAGTCAACTTAAAAAATAGGAGGACTCCAAACAAAAGAGTATAACTTTGAAACTGGACCTAAGATTAGCACCAAATTGGTTACAGGTGTAGCAGACAGTCTGTTCTTGCTCTGTGCCAAAATTTTGTCTGTTTGGGCAAAACATTTTCAAGTTGATATATTTTTTAAAAAATTAAAACTGTTTTACCCCCCCCCCATGCATGCATTAGTGATTTTCTGTGTGTCCAGATTTAAAACAAATTGCATACATTGAAAAGACTAAACTTGCTTATCTTGACAAAGAGTCCCAGACTTTTTTAAAAAAATTTGGAAGGAATCCAGGCATTCATGGCTCTAACATTCTAGCAATTTCAGAGGGAGAAAAAGTCTGGGTTTCTGGGTTTCTTATAAATGCCAGCATTCTAAATGTAAACATAAATGTTATTGCAAGTTTCCAGAGGAAGCCGAACTTTTAACCTTACCAGCCAGGATCAAATTAAATAACCATGAGGAGAAAAACATTTAATTTCTTCCTGGCTGAACAGACATAAAAAGAGTTTCAATTTCTGGTGTAAAAATATTTTGAAATATGTACATTTAACAGAACAAACTTTATTGTTTAAAACCATAGGTCACCACTATATCAACAGCAACGCAAAACTACACTCACCCCATATACATAAATTCAAGGTGACATAACTTCCCTTCTTTCTTAAGACTTTTGATTCTTGACACATATTTTCTTTGCTGCCAAAGCAAATTTTGCTACTTGATCTTTACATCCCTGCCCACAAGCAGCATGCGAAGTTGAGCCAAGCAGTCTATATGAGAATGCCAACAAGAAGT